AAAAAAAAAAAAAAAAAAAGATCACTGATCATAGATCACTATAACATATATAATAATGACAAAATTTGAATTATTGTGAGAATTCCTAAAATGTGACACAGAGACACAAAGTGAGCACACACTGTTGGAAAAAGGTGCTGACAGACTTGCTCATTGCAGGGTTACAATCCTCCAGTCTTTTAAAAATCACAGAATTTGAGACGCACAATAAAGTGAAGTGTGATACGAGAGGTATCCTTGTATCGGAAACCTAACAGAGTTTGTTACACTGGTGAATCTTCAAGTTGGCTGGGGGTCATTTCAGAAACTCTACAAAGGTGCTGTCATTCAGATAACTTTGTCAGAGCTAGCCCAATACACTCTTCTACCTGGGGTTTTGGCTGACTTACCTTTGAAAAGAAACTGACTGTCCGGGTGTGGTCTAGCCGGGAGGACAGCACCAGCAGCAGGTCATTGATGAGGAGTGGTTTGTAATCCAAATAGAACTGCAGGGCTCTGTAACATAGTTCAACGTTGGCAACCTGGTGGGAGGAACAAAGCTGAGGGTCAGTCCCTGCCCCTGTGTCCGGACACCCCAGGGCTTCTTCCAGGTTTTGCTCAAACGGCACTTTACTACTGAGGCCTGCCACGACCACCCCCTTAAGACTCAATGGCTCGTGAATGTGCCTCCTTGCATCCCTGAGGTATTTTTCCCCCTAGCACTGACACACCAAGCATTTTTCTTCAGAGGCCAGCCTCAGGGTTCCCTGCCTCAACCCAGCACTCACACTGGTATCTGATGCAGAGTCGATGCACAACCAGTATCTGCTGAATGAATGAATGAATGAAGTGTAATCAGCCAGAATAGAGCCCAACAGCAAAACCAAACAACACTGTATCTTTCCATCCAAGCAAGATTACCCCAGCCTTTCTTTTGAAGGCTCAGCCTGAGCTGTAACCAAGTGGACAGCACATCCTGTGACATCCCCAGAACTTTTCAGCTGAAACACTGTGGTGCTCAGAACCTGGGTGAGACCTGATGGCCAGCCCAGGCAGAGCAGACCACGCTAGTTGGACCCTGTGCCTGTCCTCCTGGGTCTCGAGGTCTGGCCAGGCTGCTTTGTCTCAGCACTTTCCCTACTGGTCTGCCACCATTCTCTTGCTTGGCGATGTCATTTGGTGGCTTGCTGACTGTGGCATCAATGTCCAAGGCCTGCACACAGCTCTGCTGTTCAGGGAACATGCCAGCATGGCCATGAACCAAGCCAGTGGTGATAAGTGTGTCTGTGCGAGTGTGGGGGAACCTGGGGTATGTGCAGGGCACAGCTGGAGCTAAAGCCATGCTGGGAGCCTAGGGTGCTCACCATTGGAGCCTCCAGCACCGCTAGGTTTGGGTAACCTGGCAAAAATGTAGAACCCAGTGAGGTCTTCTGACTAAGAGGCAGACACAGAGTGTCCTCATGGCCCCTCTATGGCTTACTGACCACTTCAGGGTCTCTGCTTTTTCCTTCTCTTGCCCTTTTGTGCTAGAGCACTCACCGTCACCAGAGATTCTGACCCAGACAGGCAGCAAGGTCCCTAGTACCCACCCCCATGGATGCAGAGCAGAATGGTGACCTGGCCTCATCACAAAGCTTCACCTGTGGCACTGGTGAGCCCCCAGACTCAGCCACAGGCCACTGTGGGTCCACTCATGTCAGAGCTCTAGGATCTGTCAGCCTTCCAGGCTGGCCCTTTACTCGGCAGCAGCAGGGCCAGGTCAGAGGGTCTCAACCAGACATCTAACAAAAAGAAGGGCGGTCAGGATGTGATGTGGGGCTGAGGGGGCGGGTAGGGACCCAAGCTCACCTTCTGTGGTGAGTCACCTCAAAGCACCACCTGCTTCCCTACCAACTGCAAGGCTCCTGGGGCCTCCCTTGAAGGAGAGGAACCATCTGAGGACAAGCCCATTTCACTGAGGCTCTTCGGGGCATCATGTGAGTGGGCAGACTTGATGTGGGGCACCAGCAGTCCTGGCTTCTCTTGCGGGACAGCTGGGACGATGTGTGCTCTGGGCCTTTTGAACAGGTCCATGCAGCATGGCCGGAACACCATTTAAGGCGGAGCACAATTGCCATGTTCCCACCCAGTTCCTCTGGTGCTGAGGCCTTCGAGGGACACGCACATCTCTGCTGGGTTAAGCTGCTGGGATCTGGAGTCCTCTGCACCACAGGAGGAATCGGGGGCCCTCTGGAGTGTCCTCCAGATCCAAGCTTAGAGACAGTATGGGGCGAGTCCATCAGCCATGTGCCAGGACACGGAGCACTGGCAGGCCCATGCCCACTAGCACGGTCAGCTAGCACCTCAGAAGACATGGTAGTATCCCTGTTTTATAGAAGAGAAAACTGAAGGCCAGGAGCGGTGGCTCATGCCTGTAATTCCAGCACTTTGGGAGGCCAAGGCGGGAGGATCACCCAAGGTCAGGAGTTAGAGACGAGCCTGGCCAACATGGTGAAACCCTGTTTCTACTAAAACTACAAAAATTGGCCAGGCATGGTGGCATGTGCCTGTAGTCCCAGCTACTCAGAAGGCTGAGGCAGGAGAATCGCTTGAACCCGGGAGGCGGAGGTTTCAGTGAATCGAGATTGTGCCACTGCACTCTAGCCTGGGCAATAGAGCGCGACTGTGTCTTAAATAAATAATTTTTAAAAAACTAAAATTAAAATAAAAAAAAAAGAGAAAACTGAAGCTCAGATTTCATCACAGGCTCCAGGTTGGCCGGCTAGTGTACTATGCTGCATGACCCACAAGAAGCGCCCACTGGATGCCAGGCACCTGCTATGGTCCACTTGGCCAGGAGGAAACATGAGGTCCATTGTATTCATGGGATAACGAGGTTCACAGCAGTGACACCCTAACCCACATGGAGAGAGACAGTGAATGGCTGAGCTGGGGTACCCCCTGTTTGAGTTAGCAAGGCCCCCTGCTCAGGCTGCCACTGCCTAGCCTGTGGCCCAGCCCTGTGGCTAAGTGGATTCCAAAGCACCTGCTATTGTGTACCCTAAATACAGACTGGCTGTCACCCATCTGACTGGCCCCTGCACCAGTGAGTGTCCTGCTGTCCCCTTCACACCTGAGCTGACAGTGTCTGTCTCCCACATGGCAGTGTGTAGTAGAAGCATCATGAGTCACACTAGGAACTGGACCTGGCCATCAGCCCTGCAGGCAGCAGATGGGAGATGTTGTTCTTGCACACAGTGAGTCTCAGCTGTCCTGCTATTATTTTATATGCCACTAAGACACAAAGTAATGGCCACTTCCACCATGGCTCAGCAATTTTTAAAAACACCCTTGTATCAGAGGAGTTAAAATGTGAATAAAGTACACACAAGATTGATTAAGTATGGATTTTCCAGCACACAGACATATCTACAAAGCACCAGCCATACGTGCCAGGCCATGGTAAGGTGTGATCTGGCTGCACTCCCTCCGGTAACCTGCAGACTCCGCTCAGGGTGGGATGCCCTGGCAAAGGCCCCCGCCTTCATGCACCACCATGCCCAGTAACACGGATGTCCTCCAACAAGAAGCTCTGGTGTGTGGCCTGGTGCTCAACACTGGGGTCCTTCAAACAGTTCCCAGGAAAGGCAGAGGCTGAAGGCCTCACCCTGCAGCCCACCTGCCACTCATGGCCACCCTCAGTCGCCGCATGTGGAAAAGAAGGTGCATGAGAGAGGCCACAGCTCACTGCTGTGCTGCTCCAGTCACAGCGGACAGTGATAAGTCAGTCACTCAAGGACCATGGCACAAAGTACAGATACCCAATGCAAAGGGATGGGGGCCGAGGATAGAGAATTCCAGCCCCTTCACCAAAGTCACACACACTGCTGGAGAGAGTGAGTCCTGAGGTTGAACTCCCTAAGAGACCAGAAACAAAACAACAAAGGCTCACTTGACCATGGCACCCACCCGACACCACCCAAAAGTGTGGCGGCTAGCAGAGGAACTTGGGTCCCAGTTTAGCCCAGGGAGGCTACAGGATGGAGGCCCACTCCCAGACAGGTAAGGCCGAAGGTCCTAGCAGCCTTGGGCTCCTTCACCCACTAGGAGTGTTTACTGTGCCTCTCACAGGTGCCTGCACTCTTCCTCCAGGGCTGGCAATTTTGCAGGAAGAGACATGAATTTTAAAAATGGTCTGATGGTGAAAAACAACCACAGGAAGCGGGGCTGGGAGCCTTGAGCTGATAGGGCAGAAGGAAGAGCAAACCAAGGCCTGGCCACAAGGGCGTAGTGTGGTGGGAGGGGCAGGCAGGGCTGCAGGGCTTCAGGGCCATGGCTGCATGCTGGCCTGACCCTGTCCACAGCTTAGCTGTGAGGCCCTGGACAGGTCACCTGCTCTTCCTAAGTGTCAGTTTCCTTCACAGATGGAACTACCACCACTTGCCCAGAGGGTGGTGGACTCATACAAGTGAACGCACACACGGCATGGGGGCATACTGGCACTCAATCCACTCCTGCCTGTCCATTCCCCACACCCAGAATAGGGCCTGGCAGGAGCCAGTGCTCTGTGTCCCCTCTTACCTTGGCAATGAGGTCCTTGAACTGACCCCCCTTCCAGGCCTCGGTGGGGTGGCTCATCATGGTGAGCACGGCATTGTCATACTCCTCGTATTTGTCATAGAGGAACACCAGCTCAGCCCACAGGTGCGCCTGTTCTGCAGCCTTCAGCACCTGGACAGGGAGGCCAGGGTCGTCTTGTGCCGCATGTGGCCACAGCCGCCAGACTGCAAGGAGCAAACGGTACCTTTGGGATGTTGACACGGGACCAGAAGAGCTCCAGGTGCTCCAGCATCTTCTGTGGCTTGAATTTGGAGTAGAGGATGGCCAGTTCTGTGAACATGCCCATGTGAGCCTGCTCCAAGCCCAGGGCCGCTTCCAGCAACAAGATCAGCTCCTCAAAGTAGCCGCGATCCTGAAAGACCAATAGCCACATGTGGGGCAGAGTGATTGCACACGTCCCACAGCCACCCTCCAGCCCATGCCCACACTGCAGGGACCCTCCAGCCCATGCCCACACTGCAGGGACTGTGCTGGTAACTGGGAATGATCCTGAGGAGCCACGTGTGAAGAAAACGTGTGCACATGCTGTGCTACAGACCATGCCATTCACTTAGCAACTTACTGGATCATCTGACAATTACCAGTAGCACACTTCACTACAATTTTCAAGTTTAGTGAGTGCAGATTAGTAACACCATTTTTATGAAAAGAAATAGAAAAAGAAAAAAAAAGGAAGTGGCTGTAATGGTGTCTGAGAATGATTGGTTTTAATCCTTGCCACAGCTCATGACTGAGATCCTGGCTCCAACAAGCCTACCACTCCACTCACGATGCCAGGCCGCTGCTGTTTCACTGTGTCCCTAATTATGATGGCCAGCCCCTTGCATTTAGCCCCACGCCCCTCTGTCATGCTCCCTAGACAAGACCAGATGTCTGGTTACGCCCTGCTCAGCATGCAGACACCCTGGAGAAACACCCAGCAATGAGACCCTCTCCCTTTAACGCCCACACCCCTGGGAGAGAGGGCCCAACCTAGAGGAGTGCCTCACACCTCTTGCTTTCCCAAGGAGGACACCCTTCTGTGCCCCCTCCACTCTCAGGCTAACCTCATTTCTCCATGGCGCACTTGTCTGCTGGCAACATCCGCACCCCCCAATCAGCTATAGACAAGCCGCCTGTGCTTCTGTCTAGAACCTGCCCAGCCCGCAGCTCCATCCCACCGGCTCGCCTACCAAGGCCATTGCTCTGGTGACTCCTCCTTTCTCTTTTGCCTTATCTTTTCTCTCCACAGCTGGGTGCAGCGAGCATCCCGCTAATCCTCTTGTCCTAAATGCTTCCTCTTGACCCCATGGCCCTGCCAGCTACTATCCCATTTTTTCTACTTCCGTTTGCAGCAAAAACTCCTCAAAACAACTGTTCCCATTCCTCTCCAGCCACCATCAGGCTGAGTCTGCCCCAAGCTCCACGTCACGGGCAGCCCCCTGGCCCTGACATCCTGCTGTCTGCCTAGCAGCAGGCCCTGGCCCTGCTGACCGCTCCCTCTTCCCCAGTGCATCCAGAAGCCGGCACACTCTCTGGGTTTTCTTCCCACTGTACTGGCTGCTCCTGCTCTCTTCCTCAGCCCACCCCTGCTGGGCATTCCCCAGAGGATGAGTGAAGGTGGAGAGGCAGACTGGATCATCTACATGTCAGCAACTCCCGGTTCACTGCTCTAGCTGGGCTCCTCTGCGGAGCTCCAGAAGTGTCTCCAACTGCCTACATGATGCTCCCACCTCAGCATCCAGTGGGCAGCTCAAGACTTAGCACCATGTGTCCAAAAAGTAATTCCTGTCCTTCCCTTCCACGCCGTACCTTCAGTCTTCCCCTCATCCACTGGTGATAACTCTGTATTTCTACTCATGCAAGCCAAAACCAAACAGAGTTATCCTTGGCTTTTCTCTCTCACTCTACATCAGGGCATTAGCATATCAAGGTGGCTACTCATTCAAAGCATACATCCAATCCTGATGGCCTGATCACCTCTGACCCTGTCACCACCACCCTTAGAGTCACTGTCCCTTCTCGCCTAGACCACTGCAACAGCCTCTAGCCGCTCTCCCAGCTCCTGTGCCTACTCCTCAAGTAGTGGTCTCACCACATGAGCCACCATGATTCTTTTACTTCTTGACAGCCCTGCACCCATCCCAAGTACAGCCCGTGTCCTTCCTATCAGCCTGAGATCTGGCCCTCTGTTAGCTTCCCTGCCCCATCTCTGGCTCCAGCCCCTTCCTTGAATACACAGCACATTCGTGCCTCAGGACTCTGCCTGGGCACTGACCCTTCCCTCAAATGTCCGTGTGACCAAATCCTTCCATTTTTTCAGGTTTTTGCTCAAATGTCACCCCCTCAATTGGTGCTACCTCAACTGCCCCTTTATGAAACTGCACCCAGGCACTCCAATGCCCTCAAACTGGCTCCATTTTCCTGTATAACTCATCACCTTCAAACACACGATATCATTATTCATTAGGTTTGTTGCTTGCCTGCCAACCTTGCTGAATGCCAACTCAATTACATAGAGGCTTTTCTGTTTTGCCCACTGAATAAATTATTGAGAATAATGCCCAGCACATAGTAGACACTCAAATATTTGCTGACTAAATTGTTCTTTTGTCAGCACTGGACTACTTGATTATCCTCCCTGTTGGCTTTCCAATTCATTTCTCAGGCGCCTCTCCAGGGGTAGGAAAGTGTTTCTCATCGAAAATCCATCATACTTAGCCTGATAACTGGACACTGTGGTGCTGGTGTGAGCCCCTCCAGTCGACGTCTCACACAGTGAGGGGGTTGGCATTCAAGTTCCATGGCCATGGTGACACTGCTGAGCAGATTTGCATCCCATCTTCGTCTGCCTTGACTAACCACAC